ACATGTAGTAGAATGGATGAACTGAGGTACCACTGTACAATTTGACCGAACTTCAAATTAGTATGTTAAATTTAGCATATTTTGTATTTTTTTGTATTTCTTTTGCTACAACTAAGCAGACTTTGAGACATAGTGTCTCTCACTCACTCTCTGTTTCACTCACTCGCTAACTCCCTGACTCGATGACTCATTGTCTCACTGAGTCACTTACTCACTTATTGAATAGTGCCTCCAAAACAGAGTGCCTTTGTGTTGCCACTAGATGAGTAGTAAGCATTACAGGGGATAATAGCATTGCTAGCCCCTGAAGAGTCCATGTTCATCTGTTGTTTAGCTCTCTTCTATGCCTCACAGATGTGACTGCTCAAAAAACGGAGAAGAAGCCAGCAACATACACTTTTGCCGGCTGCAACCACCATCTCACGCTGCACCCTTTGCATACAGTGACATCCACACCCTTCCACCGACTGTCTTACCACCAGACAGACTCACACTAACTCTCATTCCAGCACAACAGCTGTCATGCAGTGTCATTTCACCATTAACATAATGCATGCAGCAGGTAAGTTATTAAGGTGCCTGTCTGCAGTTTCATCACACTAGTAAAACAACTAAATTGCTGTTATACCCTTAACAGTCCTCATCCATGCATCCATACCTACAAAACAAGTGCTTACTCATTACATCACACTACATTACATTACATTACATTCATTTAGCAGACTCTCTTATCCAGTGACTTCCAGCAGAAAAGAACAGAAGTGTATCCATTCAGGTTGAACGAGCAAGTGTCAGACCAGTTAGACCAGAGCAGTGAGTATGAGCATAACACCATTGAAGCCTTTCCACAAGTTAATTTGTGCAACCTGACTAGACAAGGGAATCCAAGTGTACTACCATACATCAGTCACTTGTTCACAGAATCCAAAACACATCGCGATACTACACGTAAAATAAACAGCAAGTAATACAAGTAGTTCTCCAACCTAAAGGGAACACTCACATTGTCAAGACAGTATTATTGAATTGAAGAATGGTGCATCCATGACCATGCTGCATCAGAGTGTCAGATGTAACAAGCACAACCCCCTCTCCTCCTCCACCCCCACTCTGCCCCCCCCCACCTCAGACCCGCAACCTTCCACACTGTGCCAACATTCAGACAATGCATGGCCAATACAGTCATGATGGGTCTTTCCATCTACAGTGGAAATATAGCACTGAACACCACACACACCTTTTAGTGGCTTTCGTCTTGATGCAGAGCGTTCATGAAAATGTCATTTTTACAATGACGTAATGTGGTATCCCAAGGTGTGAAAGCACACAGCATGTAACGAACAAACTAATGGAACACAGGCAACCAAGAAAGGCTGTGATTGGTGCACATTCTTGCTTGGTGGTCAAAAGTGTCATTCAACACAGGTGCAACGATGATGTAGCTCACCTTTTGTTTTCAGCAGTATCTGCAGCTTGACATTTCCTTTTTGTGCCTCCTCTTAAAACAGTTACAAAACTGACTTTATATAGATCTTTCTGACTATAAATTGTCTGGTCGACCCTAATACTAAAACATTAAGATAAGATGCAAGCGCTCTAGTGAAGCAAGATTATTGTGAATTTGTGTATGTACAGAATGTGTGTGTGTGTGTGTGTTCTTGTGTGCATCATAGTAACAAAAACATGTGACAAATATTCTGTTTTTCTCAAAAACATTATATTTATTAACAGCAAAAGCATACATTTACAATAAATAAAAAATAAGCCTTAATACAGCCACCACATTTATAAACACAAAAACATATTAAGAAGCTCTATAAAAATGTTCTTTGATGAAGTCATTTTATCACGTCATATATCTTTGGGAAAACAGGAAGCTGCGGTTATCTGACGAAGGTTTCATCACTGGGTCTCTCTGCGGTCTCTCCTCCTGATAGGAAGAAAACATAATTTCAGTATTATTCAGACTGAACACATGATCCAGGTTAGAGAACTGGACTGATAACCCAGGCTGCAAGCCCAAGTCTCAGATCGGGGCACTTCTGTACCGCTGTTCCTTGCACCAGCCCCATAACCTGAGTTGTTTTAGGAAATATCCTGTTGTTTAAGTACAAAACTCAAAATAAATAATGTATATTTATTGGCCTGTGTCTTGTATCTTGCCGATATGAGAGATATATATTGCAAACACACAGTTCTGAAAACAGTGACAGCATTGTTGGTATTACAAAACACTACCATGCATGATCATTTGTCATTTACTGATCAATTAGTGTTCTGTTCTCATGCTGATCCTGAAATATGTAAAAGGAAAATATCCCGGAATATATGCCCCCAGCTGTAAATGACAGAGGTACATAACTGTGAAACACATGTGCTAGCTGTTACGTGTTAAGTGGTGGTGAAGAAGTCACACAAGTCACACTAACTTACTGTCTCAGCTTGTTGAGGAGCTGCTTGATCTTCTCAGAGGTCGGGTTCAGACAGCGTTGTTTCCCATCGGTCATGTTGACACTGGAAACACACCAGTGGGATCATTGGTACCAGCAAAAAAAACAATATCACTACTTCACTCTTAGGACTAGTAATACTTAACACTTATTTAGCTTGAGAATGACATTTCTCCCAGACAACTCTGTAAGTAAATAAAAACCAGGGAGAGTGGTTTGAGGACATACCAAATCAATGACCTTTAATAACAACATCGATTTTAGAAAGCCCGGTATGTCCAGCCAAACACATTCCCAGGGTTTTTGTGTTTTCCTCAATGCCCCTGTGCTGTTGCCACGCTTACATGATCTCCATGTTCTCGCAGTAGTTGGACGGGGGAATGATCTCCAGTCTCTGGATGAATTTGCGACTGACTCCGACACTGTCGTGAACACGCTGGCACAGACACCGTGATGACCCTCCCTCCAGGCCTGCAGACAAGAGCATGGACAGATGTGTCATAAAGAAGACATTCTACATTCTACATTTGCAGCAGTGTGGCGCAGTGGTAAGGAGCCGGGCTTGCAACCAAAAGGTTGCAGGTTCGATTGTAAGCTGAGGTGCTCATGTTGTACACTTGGATGAGGCACCTAACCCACATTTGCCTCAGTGACTATCCATGTGTGTAAATCAATAAAATTGCAACCTAAGTCACTCTGAATAAGAGTTTCTGCTGAACGACAATAATGTAAAGTAATGTGATGTGAATGGATGGGCAGACAGATAAGTATAAACACTGAGAAATGGACAGATACATAGAGAAGACATATATAGATGCAGAGTCAGACAGATAAACAGACAGACAGAATTGGTATACAAGTAAGCAGACAGATACTTAAGATAAAGAGAAGAGAGAAACAGGGAAGGAACGAAAGAGTGTAGAGAAAGGGGAGAGTGGGCACTCACGCAGTGAGGAAGCCACGCAGGCAGCCAGAGCGAGGAGCAGGAGAACCTTGGTGCTCATGGTGATGGTTTGGCGGATGCGGCGGGTGATGGTGTCGGAGAGGAGCGTGCGAGAGACAGAGAGAGAGACAGAGGTGTTGCTCTGAATGCTGCAGGGGGGCTCTTATATACACTGCTCTCTGCCCTTTCCTCTCACCCTCTCTCAGAGGGGAAATTTCCCACAATGGAAAGTGAAACCCCTATGAAACGGAACAAAAAGCGGCTCCACGGGACTATTTTTACTCGTTGAATGGCAATGCCCACTAATAAAGTGTAACATCCATTACTTCCAGTTTTTTACAGTACCAGTGTAAGTACCCGTAATAATAATAATCCTTATTAGGAAACCAGTGCAAGTATCCATCTAAGTAACCATAGGTCTCAGGTTAAAAAATAAATGATTATTACATTACTGAAGAATAAACTATACAACAACTGATAACACATTACTGTAGCTATCCTTCCAAGATCCTTTTTCTGGAAATCACTTGTAACCTTTTAAAAAAAGGAAAATTCATATTATTTGGTCAACCTATAAAATACTGGCCTATTCCAGAAATTCTATTAATTTCATAATGCTTGCCTGAAAATGATATGTTGCTGTTAAATTTGTTCTTAATGACATAACACACCATCAAACAGTGTTAGTAACCAAGATTTTTTTTTACAGATATATGGCGAAGGTTGCATTTAGCTTGAAAGAAATGGAATTTGTGAGCTGTAATTCATAACATGAGGATCTCTCTAGGGATCAAAGACACTAAAGCCTGCCTTGCGAGGAACAGGAACAGTTAGTCTACTGTACTGCACTGCAATGTACTGTACATAAAAACAAACAATTTATAGCACATGCTGGAGGGACAGCTTAAGCACTTGTGTATAAGATATGTATACACATGCACACACTTATATATATGTCTATATACAGAGCGAGACAGAAAGAGAGAGAGTTAATATTAAGCAATGTCTGAGTGAAGGTATACCTTCAGAGCTCGGTTATTTAATGAAAGGACAAGATTTCCTCTGCTGTTGTTGTGCATGGGAATGTGTGGTATGGCTGACCAAGAGCATACTGACTATGGAGATGATACATCATGGTTATTACATGCATAAACGTTATAATAATGTCACCACCTTGGTCAATACATGCATTGCTTAAATGTCCCAGTAACATCTCCATCATTGGTGGTTGTTTTCCACCATGACAAAATTGCATAGGTGGCACTAGTGGTACAGCATCTGCACAGCTGCTTGCCTAACCCTATTGCAAATGATTAAATGCATATGTAAATGTCATCATGCTTTAACATTACAGAAACATTATGTGGATGTCATTTGTTCATGGGGATCTCACTCTAACAGCTGAAAATATCCCCATAACTGGTATTCTGCCATCCGTGTAGGTCCTGTGGTTGTTAAACCATGTTATTGGGTGTAATTACACATGGTGTCGGAGATGAGCGTCTATCTGTCTGACTCTCAGTCCATAGGTGTCATCTTTTTTACTCATTTATAGAGATGGATAGTTACTGAGGCAAGTGTGGGTTAAGTGCCTTGTACAACAGCAGTGCCCCAGCATGGAATTGAACCAGTAACCTTTTGGTTACAAGCCTCACTCCTTACCACTATGCTACGCTGCTGCAAATGCATGTGTAGAATGTAGAATGTCTTTTAATAATGTGGCTGTCCATGCTCTCCACCTCTCCAGGTGTCTCCTGAGTGATGTCATCGCCCCCTGTCTGTCTGTCTGTGCTTCTGTGGACGGGATAACATTTTTGAACAGATTTGGATGACAATAATTGCCCAGGGCAGTGTGTTTGAAACCTGGTCCTAGCAGGTTTTGCTGGCTTTAGTTTTTAGCTGCATCCCATCAGTGTGGGTTGATTGAGCTGCAACTTGACTGCTGATCTGGATTTATCACATCTCTTTACAGTTATCTGGCATAAGTCATTTGTGGAAGACGTTTGTGTTTAAAGGTATATTTTTAAATCTAATGAGATCAAATCAAGGGCAATTGCCTACCACTCACTCCTTTGCAGCTCTTCCACAAGCTACCACATGTTGGCGCTGTCTCACTTCATTCAAAATATATTTTGGATATGATTTATGATATGATCCTTTTTTACTGGATGCCAAATGGCCACAACTGCCATACAAAGTTGTTTTGACCTCACTCCCTCCCATTCCTTTTCAGAAAGTACCCTTATTCAGATTATGTACTTCCAGTGCACTGTACATTAATGGATACTATCAGAGAAGTCTACAATACAAGGTGATACTCAAATGCAAATTTCAAAACAAAATATTTAACTAAATGTTGTAACTAAATTGAAAAGGATTGATCACATTCTACTACAATGGTTTAAAGTATTTCAAATAAATCATATGCTGACTGCTTTGAATCATTCAAATAATTGATGATTCAATCATTCAAAATTTTTTTGGTGGATGCTGTTTGGGAATTAGGCCCACACTGTATTTTTGGCCAACATTTGTAGATATTTACTGCAGATCATTTTTTTCCTTAATTGGTAAATTAAACTCTCTCAGCTCATGTATGGTGAGGATTCTGATGCAAAATAGGTGCTGTACATCAATGTATGTGCTACATGTTGGTTGTAGTTCAGTCATTCATCTTTCTGTAAACACTCTGAGATCCATGAAAGTTGGTGTATAGATACATTTATTGCCACCTGCCATTCCAGGTGGTAATTTATTATTATTATTATTATTATTATTATTATTATTACTGCATCTACTGCAAGGGTTAAATTTAGTCCAATCCTGGTTGGACTATGGTTATGTGGCATAGTTCGTTTTGAGAAATAATCTGTTTTTCCAGGAAAAATGTCATGCTTAAAGATTTAGACTTTGATATAACATATTCTGGGTAATATCACATGAACAACCAACATATACTGGCTTGTAGGTATATATACATTACTATATTACTGTTAATTTAAGGAAATTATTGCTTTACCTACTCTTTATGGCTAATTATCTAAAGTACAATTTATTATTTTTGAATAATAGAAGTCATTTTTATTTAAAGAACGGAACTAGCATATAATTAAATGTAACGGAGGAGTGGTTAGAGACTACAATGCAGCTTATTTTACAAAGAGATATTTTGTTGATGAGACTTTCATGAAAGCAATTGTCAAAAAAGTGTTTTCATGAAAGCATGTTTATGTAAACCAAGAATGAATGGCATAGCCTTGTGACCCGACACCAGTATGTGACTAGTACAGACTAAGCAGATTTCAGTTTGATTAAATCATCTGTCTCCTACCATATACACCATTTAGTTTCTGTATCAGTCTGAAGGTGCAGTTCTATTTCCCCTTTTGAGCAAAAAAAAAAAAAAAGTGTAAAGTTGTTACAATGCCAAATCTTTTTTTCCTGAAAGAAGAATCTTTCATTTCCAGAAAATAGTCAACATTCGGTAGCATGACATAAACTGCTTCATTCATATTCTGTATGTTGCTTTCTTGCATGCATAATTTTGAGTAACACAATAATAAGTGTGTGTAATAAGTGTACAGAACGTGGCTGCACAACTGGTTTTCAACCAACCAAAAAGGGCTCATGTTACACCTCTCTTGGTCTCACTCCACCGGCTCCCTGTAGCTGCCCGCATCATCTTCAAGGCCTTGATGCTTGTGTACAGGGTGACCAACAAAACTGCACCTAAGTACCTGAACTCACTGCTGCAACCCTATGTTCCCTCCTGACTACTACGCCTGGCGCCTGGTGGTCCCGTCGCATTGTGGCGCTAAATCACTATCCAGGACTTTCTCCACCTCATCCGTTCTGCTGAGTCCCTCTCTGTCTTCAAGAAACATCTGAAGACACAGCTCTTCCGCTCTCACCTGAGCACCTGAAACACTTCCCCCTATCTCCTACTAAACTATAAAAAAGAAAAAAAACGTAATGGTTTGGTTGCAATGGTTTAACGTAATGGTTTGGTTGTAATGATTTAACATAATGGTTTGGTTGTAATGGTTTGGTTGTAATGGTTTAACGCACTCGTTAGCTCTACCTGCTAGTTTGTACCTTGCTTGGCCAACCTTTAGAACTTTGTCATGCAGTACCTCTAATATTGTTGACCCTGTATGGTTTTTCGCTTGTGTTGTATTGCACCTCACTTGTAAGTTGCTTTGGATAAAAGCGTCTGCCAAATGAATAAATGTAAATGTCATGTAAATGTGTGTCTGATACATCTCTTTGCCATTCTAATCTTCGAGAAAGATTAATAGACACAGACAACACGTAAATATCAATGACATAAATCATAATTTTATTTTCATTGTGCTTGTTCAGTATGCGAACAATATTCAAAATAAGCAAAAATAACAATACAAATGGCAGAACAAGCAATACACTTGAGTATTCTTAAACATGGGAAAATGAAAGTGCACAGCAATAAAATATAGAAATACTGCTTTTCTGAAATGTTTAACATTGATATAAAATTTGCCAAAGTTGCTCAGAAAGAGGATCTGGAAACATGATCGCATTGGTCAGCAAAAATGATGTCAGACAGGAGACCAGATGTCAGTGGTACCGGCCTCGGGCAAGGAAGTGGGGTCTACGCCCCTCCTGTGAGGATAGAACAACAAGGTCAGAAAGGTCAAGTTTGTTTAGGGACCTCCCCACTGCTGCCCCATCTTATAATGTCATAAATGTACTGTACTAATGTGCTGTGCTAATATTCACACAGAATATTGAATTAATTAAAAGCAGGTCTTTTGCAGAAATAAGATGTTGGCCACATGTGCATTATAGGAAATCCGAATAATCAGGAAAAAGGTAGAACATTCATAGATACACTTACATGTTCATCAGGTTTGAAACCAGATCTTGGACCTTCTTCATTCTGGGATCCAAACAGTACTGCACACCATTCTGCAGGCTGACACTGTGCGCATACAGAGGGATGGGTTATAGGGATGGATTCAGGAAAAGTAAAGGACGAGTGAAATATGAGAACACAGACTGACTTCACATCTTCTGTGATCATAATGTATCCTTTTAAATAGTACAAAATAAAATAATATCATGTAGATGTATTGTTATAATATAATTATAACAATATAATATAATATAACATAATATAATATAATATAATATAATATAGTATTAAAATATATTATTATAAAATTAATTTAAATTTTAAATGTATATTTAATTAAATTATATAAATTAAATTATATGATTAAAATTATAAATAATATAATAGGGCACAAAACAGTACTGTACGAATGCTTAATCATGCTAAAAAAACTTTTACAGACACAACTATTGCATAAGAGCATCTGCAACACCAAACATGGCCCATCCTTCCACTTACACAACCTCCATTTTGTCACAGGAAGCAGACGGGGGGTAGATCTGGATGTCCAGGATGGCCCGGGCGGGTCCGAATCTGTCCCGGACGCGCCGACACACACACCGAGATCCGGTGGACCTTCCCGCTGAGGACGGAGACAGAGAGAGGGCACGTTAAACCGCGTTCACGCCACCAAAAAACCCAGATCAAGGTGTTCAACAAGAGAATGTCACAGTATCTTTTTCCTCAAAAAAAAAAAAAAAAAATCACGCAATCAGCATGTATAAAAATGACAATGCAGCTGTTCTCTAGTTCCGTACATGAGGCGAGAATGCACCTAAAGCCAGTGACGGTGAGTGCGGGTGCAGATATGAGTTGCAAAGTGAAAGAGACGTACTCTGAGCGAGGGCCACACAGGTTACGGCAGCGAGGAGCAGGAGGACCTTGGTGTTCATGGCGGCGGTTTGGCCTGCTGTGCACTGCTGGAGACGGCGATGTCAGAAATGAGTGAGCGAGCGAGTGAGCGAGTGAGAGAGGAGGTGCTCTGAGCGGCGCACAGGGGCACTTATATAGACCTGTCTCGGGCCTCACCTCACGCCCTCTCTGTGTCTCTGGGGAAATTTTACCCGCTGGAAACGAAACGGAACCCTGACCATTCTAAAAATTTTACAGCCCTGCACCCTGCAAGCCCCCGCCACCCCAACCCACTGCTCCCTGAACCCCCACGCAACCAAGTCCTACCTTCGCCTCTGTCCAAATTGTCATCCAAGATGGCAAAGTTGTATTTATTGAACGTGACCGGCTTATGAATCTTTTACATTACATTACATGCATTTATTAGACGCTCTTCTCTGGAGCGACTTCCATCACAATAGAGCATAAGTGCATCCGTTCAAGTTAAACAAGCAACAGTGTCACACCAGGCTAACACTCCCAGACCAGTGAGTGTGAGGTATTCAAGCCCTGCCACAAGTTAACTTGTGCGTTCTGACAGAAACCAAGTATACTACGAATCTTCTTAAACAGTGTTTGAGAGACTCTTTTAGCCCAATGCTATGAGGGATCTTGAGGCATCTATGAGAGTTGCTTGGGGCAACTCTTTTAGTGGTGGGGACGGTGAAAGTGTGAACATGCATGGGCACAGGGCAAATATGGGGGTTTCATACTGACTGGATTGAAAACAACTGAACAGTCATTACTAATATTAATATCTAAGCAACACTTTTTGAAGTGGTTATGTGTGTTTAGTAAAATTGTGCTTCAGGATAAAACATGGCTGTAAATGACAGGAATTTACAGCCATAATG